AGTCTCAGACAAGCCAGAAAGGAGGCCAAGGCTTGGGGTTACTATGGCAACAGCACCGCTGGCGTGATTTGTGAATGAGTGAAGCCCTGGGGAGTGAAGGGGACAAGAGGGGAGAAGTCACCCTCAGTTCTGTCTTGAGAGTGATGCCTCCTTATTCTGATTAAGCTCGTCCCTCCTCTGCTCAAAAGCACTCAATGGCTCCCTATTGCCTACAAGATAAAGTTCGAACTCCTCTATCCACAGGCAAGGCCCTCGCTGCTCTGGTCCCTGCCTGCCTCTCTTGCGTCAGTCCCTCTTCTTGCTCTCATGTATCCAATGACTTCAGTCATGGAAAGTCTTGCTGTGCTTCCAGGTTGCCGATAGCTTCCCTCCTCCAGGCCTTTGCCCCTATGGGTCCCTATCAGCCAGAAGGCTCCCCTCCCCGTTTCTGAGAATCTGCTTTCTGCCAGGCTCTCCTATGAAGGCTTCCTCTCTTCCCTAAGGGCGGACTGTCATCCTACCATCGTACAAGGTTGGCCGGTAGTCATCTCTGCCCCCAGCCCTGCCCCATTAGATGGAACATCTGGAAGGCAGGGCCCCATTCACCCTACATTCCCTTCACTCACCCCCATAACTGGCCCCAGTGTTGATTGTGTGGTCTGCATGTGAATGAGGCCCAACCAACATTTGGCGAATGAACGGATGAGTGAAGGAATGAAGGAATGAATGAACGAACGAACGAACGAATGAAAAAGGCTAGACCCTGAGCAAGGTCCCAGTGATTTGTCCCACGTCACCACCCCCAACACGTCCCCGGAATCGATTGGGTAAATATTTAGTCCCGCTCCTCAGATTTCAAAATGCCCTTTTGGAACATTAAAAAAAAATGGAAAGGCTCTGTGCAGGAGACCTTGTCCCCAGAGTGAGCCTCCTGGGCCTCCTGGCCTTCCCGCTCGCCGCTCTCCTATGGGGTCTCTTGTCTGCGTGGCCCTTGTTACGACACTTAGGAGCCATGCTTCTCTAGGACCAGCTTTAGCGCTGAGGGCTTAGTGTGTTCGGGATGTCAGGCGTTCTCTTCCAGCAGGAAAGGGGAGTCTTTCCGTACTTTGCAGGTGGGGTGCAGAGGGAGGCAGCACGAGTGCCGTGAGCATGGGTGTTGTAGTGGGGACCCCAGGTGTCCGTGGAGGTGAGGAGTCTGCATGGCTCTCGTAAGTGGGTGTGTAGAGATGTGTCAGGGCTTCATTCGGTTATTCGCTCTCTCATTCAACAAACAGTTTCTGAGTGGGGATTGGCCACGGCCGGGAAGCCAGAGGGATCTCCCGGGTGGCCGGGGAGGCACTGGAAATTGGCGTGAGACCAGGAGCTCTGCAATCCCAGCCTCCCCACTAACCCTGTGCTGGGGGGCTCGCACTTCGTGACTCTGGATCTCAGTTTCCTCACCTGTGAGTGGGCGCAGAGCCCCACAGCAGCTGCGGCAGTAGAGAGGGAAGGATGGACACTGCACGTCCTGGAGATACAGACCCAGGAGCCCGTGGCTCTGACTGAATTCGGTGGGCGAAGGGCAGAAAGGAGTGCATTCCACCCCCGGCTGCCTGGGAAGGCGAGGGGCCCTTCTCTGAGAAGAGGCAGATCAAAGACTAACAGCTCCTGAGCTCTGACCTGAGATGAGCAAGACACTGAGAAGTGTTTCCAGGAGGTATTAAGAGGCTGCAGAGCATCTGAGTATAGAACCCAGACTTTGGCCAGAATGCCTGGGTGCCAATCTGGACTCCACCAATTACTGAGTCTATTAGTTTGTTAGGGCTGCCATAATAATGTGCCACAAATGGAGTGGTTTAACGAACAGAAACTTATTGTCCCACAGTTCTGGAGGCCGGAAGTCCAAGATCAAGATGTCAGCAGGGCTGGTTCCTTCTGGGGCCGTGAGGGAGAATCTGCTCCAGGCTTCTGCCCAGCTTCTGGTTTGCTGGCAGTCTGTGGTGTTCCTTGGCTTGTAGCTCTCTGCCTTCACCTTCAGGTGAAGTTCTTCCTGTGTGCGTGTCTGGGTCCAGACTTCCCCTTTGTATAAGGACGTGAGTCATATTAGATTAAAGGCACACCCCACTTCAGTGTGACCTCATCTTAACTGATTACATCGCAATGACCCTATTTCCAAATAAGGTCGCCTTCTGAGGTACTAGGGGTTAGGGCTTCAATTTTGGGGGGGACGCAGTTCAACTCATAACACAGTATGAGATTTGGGCCACCTCTCTGTGCCTCAGTTCTCCCCCCTGCAAAATGGACGTGATATTTCCTAACACATAAGCCTGTTGTAGGCGCTGGATGAGTTGTTGTATGTAAAGCACACGTCTTTGACGCTCTACAGATGTTAACTATTGTTATCTCATTTAATCTTCTATTACAACTCTGTCCTCTAGGACAAGGTCATGACTTCATATGCCCACCAGGGCTGGCAGGTTACCTGAACAGTGGGGACCAGGCAGCTGAGACAGTAAGAGCCCCCATTTAATTAGAGGCATTTCCGTTCAACACTGTTACAAGCACTCAGTGGGCTGAGCAGAAGCCACCTCTGTTTGGGGCGAAGCTCGCCTCCCGGCACAGTGCTCTTTGCCACTCTTGATGTCAATGGAAAAATTAATCTATCATGAGCTATCTAGTCCTTTGAATTCCCGTATTCTGGCCACTGGCCCATCCTACCCTCTCACCCCAGCTGTTATGGACTGAACTGTGTCCACCAAAAATTCGTATGTTGAAGCCCGAACCCCTCAATGTGATTACATTCGGGGATAGGGCCTTCATCTTTTAAGGGAACTAATTAAAGATAAACGAGGTCATAAGGTGGGGCCCTGATCCCATAGGACTGGTGTCTCTCTCTCTCTCTTTCTCTGCATGTGCACAGTGGAGAGGTCATTTGAGCACACAGCAAGAAACACCATCTATGAACCAGGAACACAGGTCTGACCAGAAACCAACCCTGATATCACCTTGATCTTGGACTTCTAGCCTCCAGAACTGGGAGAAATGAATTTCTGCTGGTTAAGCCACCCAGCCTGGGGTAGTCTGTGATGGCGGCCCAGGCAGAGTAATCCTCAAGACACCACCTCCTGAGAGGCCCTCAGACCTCTCCCCCCGAGACTCACCATCCTCAGCCCCATTCCTTCAGAGCCCTTTCTGAGTGGCAATGGGGAGTCATGGGTTGCCACTGATGTCCCCCAAATTCTCAAAATATTCCTTAAAATGTAAGCTTGGGAAAAAGCACATGGGATGTCTCCATGAGCAGCACACAGAGGATGGAGAAGTCCTCCAGGGTCTCGGTTGGTCCTGTCTTTCCCAAGCGTTTTCATTGGGCACCCATTTTGGGCTGTTGCAGTAGCTTTCTGTTGCTGGCGTAACAAACTATGACAAACTTAGCAGCTGAAAACAACACAGATTTACTCTCTTATAGTTATGGAGGTCAGAAGTCCAAAATAGGTCTCACTGGGCCAACATCAAGATGTTGGCAGGGCTTTCTCCTGGATGTCCTTGGCCCCGGCCCCACATCACAGGGTCTTTTCTCCTCCTGCTTCCATGATCACGTTGCCTTCTTCTGATTCTGATCTCCCGCCTCTCTCTCTTATAAGTACCCCTGTGATGACATTTAGGACCCTCCTAGGTAATCCGTGATAGTCCCCCATTTCAAGATCCTTAACTTGGTCCCATCTGCCAAGTCCCTTCTGTGACATAAGGTAACACTCCCAGGTTCTGGGTATTAGGCTGTGGATATCTTTGGGGGGCATTAGCCATCCTTCCACAGGTAGGTAACACGATTCCCACCCTAGAGAATATAGCTTAAGGGTCTCTAGGTTATGAAATAGAGGACTCTTGCTTATGTCATGGGCCGCAATGGACAGAAAGCAAAACCTGGACAGAAGACACCTGGCTTCCCCCTTGTTAACGCCTCTCCTTACTAGCTGTGTGCCTTTGGACTGATTGCCTCACCTCTCTCTACTTCTGTCTTCTCAGTGATCGACAGGGCTACTGGTGCCTGCCTTCTGACGCATTTCGAGGCCAGTGAGCAGAGTGAGCGCTCATGCCTGCTTGTAACTGTGTTTGTCTCTAGACTGGGAAGGAGCTCAGCATGCCCCTTGTAGGGTGGTTGTCAGGATGAGCAGAGATAACGGGCCACAACTGGGCCCCAAATCATGGAGAGGGAAGCGAAATGTCTCAGTGGTTCTAGAGGGACCCCACTGGATGGGCATCAAGGTCGCTTTCCTGGGGTAATGCCAGGCCCTCTGTGTCCTCCACCAGCTCCACACCCCACCTCACCCACACCACCTTCTGGGCAGTGACCACACACAGCACATCCTGGAATTAGAAGCCCAGGCATGGGACCTTGGGAACGAAACAAGGCTTGAGCCGGCACCCGGTACCAGCACCCTGTACCAGTGGGAAATACTCTTCAAAGTGTGGGGCTGAGATTGGGAGCCCCAATTTCAAGATAGAAAAGGACAGTCCAGCTGAGTCCTTAGAAATCCTAGACACGGACCTTTTCTAAGCAAGGAGCACTGGCCTTGAAGTCAGTGACCTGGGCACTCAGCCCCACTTTGTCCCCAGTGGGACCCACAACTCTGAAACATTCCCTCATCTTCCTGAGCCTCAGTTCCGTTACGGCGCAATGAGGAGGTTGCATACAAGGACCCTTCATCTAGGCTGTCGTGACGCTCTCTCACTCCCGCTGATTCCCTCCGGAATCTGACTGCTGGGGTCCCTGAATTCTGGAAGCACGTAGGCCTGTGGGGGTCTTGGGCTCATGCCCCACTCCCTCAGATCTATGGCAAATCGGCTGCAGGAAGCAAAGGGACCAGCCAGGAGAAAGGTAGGTTTGCCGGAGGGTGTCCCTTTTCCTGTGGCTGGAATGTGGGTAGCTGGTGGGGGCCGGTGCTGTGCAGGCACATGGTGGTCTGTGTGGGCTTGCGGGCAGGGAGCTCCAGGGACTCTGCGGCAGCCTGCCTGTTGGCTGGGAGCCTGCGGGCCAGGACGGACCGGGCAGGCTGGGCGGAGCCGGGGAAGAGGTGGAGTCAGGGCCCGCCGTGGTCAGTGACAAACACTGGCTCCAGTCCAGCCAGCCGTCTGCCCTTTATTGAGCCCGAGGGACTGTCACGTCCACGGTGTGCACGCTCGGCCACGGGACAGCGTAAGTACAGGCCCCATGACGGCAGGCCTGTGGGCTTGAGGGCGTGCGAGGAAGGCGAGGAGGGGACTGTGGAGCTCTGGGGTTTGGAGGGCTTAAAAGCTTTGGAGGTGCCCCAGTGTGAACAGGAAAACTCTCCACATGGGTGCAGAAGGAGCCAGGGCCTCTGTGGCAACAGAGAGCCCGCTGGCTGCGTGACCTTGGGCATGACACTAAATCTGGCTGAGCCTCCGTTTCCTTATAGGTAAAATGCACCTTATTACATGCGTGGTGTGACCTCTGCACGGGGGTGACCGTAAGGATTAAATTAGGTGAGGGCTCTCACTCGGGTGTATCCTGAGGGCTCATCTGCCAATGTCTGGAGACCTTTTTAGTTGTCACAACTGGAGGACAGCTGCTAATGGCATCCAGAGACCAGGGATGCTATTAACAGTCGTCTGATGCACAGGACAGCCCCACAACTATGAAAGATCCGGCTCCAAATGCCACCAGTGCCGAGGTTGAGAAACCCTGAAATAAGGGAGTGTGGACAAAATATCTGGGACCCAGGAGGCATTTGGTAAACCATAGCTTGATGGTTTTCTGTGCCTGGAATCTCGGACCCTTGGCAATCAGGAAAAATGATCAAATGAAATGCTTCCCTGTGACAAGGTGGCCCTGTCCAGGAGCTGCCACCCAGAGTGGTCACAATGGCCGCTGGGGCACCAGATGCCTTTGGGCTGTTTGTTAAATAAACAAAATGTAGGCATAAAATGAGTGGAATGTTCAGTTTTTCTAAGGGTGGGGCCTTTGGCAAGAACTAAAACAATAAAAGGGAAACTGCTCTGCTGGGCCAACATCCTCATCCATTCACAGATCGGAAACCACAGCATGAGGAATAAGGAGGGCGGGCGGGTGGAGGAAAGATGGTGGTGGATGTGTTGATGGTGTGGACGGTTTCATGGGTGTGTATGCAGCCCCAAACTCATCAGGTTATATGTGTTAAATATGAATGGCTTTTTGTAGTCAGTCATACCTCAATAAAGTGGTTTTAAAGAAAGAAACGGAAGCTGAGCAGCAGCAGGGGAGTTATTCAAGGTCAACTGACAAGTTAGCCCCGGGGCCGGGAGAGCTCAGCTCTAGGTGCCCAGCCTGGCTCGTTTCCACGACTCGGTCCAGCGTGTGGTCTGACACCTCTGAATTACAGAGGAGGAGACAGAGGCCCATTCATTCATTCGTTCATTGGTTTATTCCACAAAGGTGACTGGACATCTCGTCCTTGACTTGGAAGTCTCACAGCCAGGGGCAGCCCAGAGGAGGATCCTCTCTGTTATGACCACATGTTCTAGTGGCGGAGAGAGAGGCTGGAACAAAAGTAGTCAACAACAAACGCACTTGTAATTGCGCTTCTGTCATTGATGCAGCCATGAGAGAAACAATCAAGGGGCCGCTAGAGAGATAACAGTGGATGGGGGGGTGGAGGGCAAGTATCAACAGGGTATCCCCAAGAAATGACAGTTAAGCAGAGGCCTGAAGCCACAGAGAAGCTGGCCTTGGTGAGAAAGGCGGAGAGACATTTCCAGCCGAAAGAGCAGAATGTGCAAAGGCCCAGGGCTCAGACAGGACTCAGCGCGTTGGAGGAATTGAAAAAAGGAGTGTGTTCAGAGGACGTGTGAGTGAGGGCAGACCAGGTCAGGATGAGGCCGGAGAGAGCCTGACAGAGCTGGACAGAGCTGGGCAGAGCCAGACCACATGGAACCTCATGGGTTATTGCACAAATCAGTTAGATCTTATCCCAAAGGAGTGGGCAGCAATGATGTTCTTAGGCAGGCGAGCGCTGTGACCATATTTGTGGTTCAAGGAGATTCCTCCAGACACCGTATATAGAACGGCTCTTGGGGGCAGGAGGAACAGTGGGGTGGTCCAGGCGAAAGACAGAAGGGGCTCCCATTAGGATGGTGGCAGGGAAAATGGGGAGAGGCAGGCAGACTGAAGACACATTTTAGAGACAAGTGTTGCCGACGTTCTGGAGATGGGGCGGAGGGTTAGGAAAGTTCCCTAGGCCCCTGCTCCCGGGATGCTCTGCCCCTGCGTCTTTAGGATCTGGGGAAGCTGTGCATTTGTTACTCCCTCTCTGTCGGGGCTCGCAGACTGACATCTCCTCTTGTAATCAGCAGATAGTGGACAGACCCTCCTCAGCTGTGCACCTCCCACAACTGAGTCCAAAGTCGACCCGCTAGGACTCTGTTGCCTAACGTCCAGGATAAACGTCAGCAGATTTTGGTCCGTGGATGTTGGGGATCAGTGGGATGACTGCCCATGCCCTGCCGCCTCACGTCGCTTTGCCCTGGGGCACCAGACGCCTTTGATTGAGCTGCTCTCGTCCCTCTGACAGGTTGGGGCATTTGGGCAGAAACACCTGTGTTGGGGGCCCAGCAGGGGAGTCAGCCAGGCCAGGCTCGGCTGGCACACCGTGGGGGCTGCTCTCCTGAGTGCCAGGCTCCCAGGGCCTAAAGCAGGCTCATCCCAGCTCAAAGCTGGCACAAAACTCTGTCAAAGGTGTGTATTTCTACCAGAGGCCCAGGAGTGTGCCGGCAAAGCCTGTGCTTTAAAACTAGAAACCCTGGAATGAGCACTCCGAGACCTCTACTTTCTCAGAAGTGAGCTCTCTGACCCTCTGTTTCCTCTTCTGTACAATTATGATAATGATACCAACTCCATGTTGCTGTGGAGGAGTAGAAGTGAGCTAATACAGGTGAGCAGTGGGGGGACACCCAGGGATAAGCACCAGGAGCTACCTGGGAGGAGGAACAAGCTGTCATTCGTCGAGGCCATAAAAGGGAGCGAAGAGGCAGCGTTACACCAGTCCGAGGAATCTGGATTTTAATCCTGGTTCCATCACTCACTGGCTGGGACAAGCTATTTCATTTTACTAAGCCTCAGTTTATGCCGCTGTGAATGGGGTTAATTATGCTTACTTTTGGTAAAGACGAACTAGAGTAATATTTATAGAGTGTCTAATGGGTCCTTAATAAATGATGGCTTTAATAAAAGAGAGAGAGAGTGGGCCCCAAAGGAGCAAGATTTCTAGGTCTCCAACCTGCACCCCGGGGGGAGCCTAAGTGAAGCTGACGCCCCCTCCAAGGAGATGCTGCTGTCCAGGAGATCGAGTAGGCACTTGGAGAAGTGGCTCTGGCCACTTCTGATGTTTAAGGGAGACAGTGTTAGGGAGGAAGATTACTGGCCACAACGTGTCACAGACCTCCAGTTGTTTATGAAGAAACTGAGGCCTGAGAGGAGAAGGGCCTTGCCCAAGGTCACCAGGAGGGCTGCACGGATGGGAGGCTGGGAGGCCAGAACTCTCCCTCCTGCTCCCCAGTCCGCTGCCTCTGGGCTCCGTCCAAGCAGGAAACTCCCTCTGCCTCTGTAGCTGCTGTTTGAAAGGGTTTCTTTCAAGGTAATTATCTGATGGCTCTAACACTTTGCAGGAGGGACCATCACGTGCCATAAAATAGACTAGTGTAAAGGACACAGAGGTTCAGCCATCCGTCCACATCCTTGAAAGACCTCCAGGAAGGCAACTCTCAAGGTGGAAGCCAAAAGGGAGTTTTTGTTTGAAAAACAAAAAGCATGGGAAGCCCAGACTGTGTTTCTTAATTATCTGCAGATTAGGGGCTGCGGAGGCAGGGAATATCAAATCGGGAGGTTGTGGCACGGAAATGGAGGACCAGGGGTCTGGGGAAGCCGATGGTGCAGTGGTTTAGCGCGTGGGCATTGAGGGGCAGAACCGGGTCTGAGCCCAAGCTTTGCCACTCTTAGCAAGTGACTAGACCTCTCTGAGCCTCAGATTACTCCTCTGTGAAACAGAGCTAGTGATAGAACCTACCTCTGTGGGTGGGGGCGAGGCTAAAGGAGTTGAGATGTGTCAGACCGCACAGCATCCACTTGTGGGTGCCGGCCACGCGCCTGGGCCTCCCATGGGCATGGGGGTTGCTGAGGCTGCTATAGTCGGTTCTGGGTAGCTAGAACATTCTAAATGAGCCTCCTTTGTGGGCTCAGGTGCAATTTGGAGGCTGGGGTGGTGAGCGGGACCTGCTCAAGTCATTTGATGTCGCTCAAAGGCAGGACCGCAGCCCAGGTCGGCCTGACTCCCAAGCTCGCTGGCATGCATGTCCCTCCCCACGCCTCCATCATGGGCCTCTCTGCAAGCAATGTCCAACGCAGCTCTTTGGAGCCCTTTGGAGTTTTGCTTATGGCACGTGACTCTGTGGCAGTGCTCACCCTGGGGCTGGGGGACCTCAGGACATGGTGTCCGTGAGGGGAGAATACTCAGCAGGGGCGAAAGCTATGAGTAAGAGCTTTCCTCAGGAGCCAGGCCGTCAGCAACCCGGGCATTAGTTCCCCAGCCACCGTCAGGCTCCCAGGAGAACCTGTGCATGAAAGCCCGTACCCCATTGTACAGCTGGGGAAATGGGGGGCTCAGGCGGGCATTGGCCAGATGCTGCCACACTGACAGCTCCCACTTGCACAGCACCGGGTCTGTGCCGGGCACTGTTCCATATGCACATACGTTGACTCGTAAAGCCCCCAGCCCTCCCTGGTACAGGTGCTGCGCTGCCTCTGTAGTACAGGTGGGAGACGGAGGCACGGGGTGTAGCTGACTTGCCCCAAATCACACGTGGAGGAAATAGCGGGGCTGAGATTTGAACCTAGGGGCCCGGGCTGCAGAGCTGGGACTGTTCACAGGGGGCTGGAAGGAGGTCTTTGGGATGCCCGGGCACAGGAAGGGTTTCTGGTTGGAGAGGAGGATGTGAGGAAAGGGGGGAGGGGACCGCAGGTGGAAGACGACGCCAGAATGGTGGGCCCGCCTGAGAGATGCAGAGACAAGAGGTGAGGGCTCTGTCTAGGGCATGGGAGGAGGAGATGTCTTAGTCCCCTCGGGCTGCTATGACAGAGTACCACAGTCCGGGCGTTCAAGCACCGGATGTTTATTGTCTCTCAGTTCTGGAGGCTGGAAGTCTGAGCTCAAGGTGTCAGCAGGGCTGGTTTCTTCCGAGGCCTCTCTCGGTGGCTTACAGACGGCCATCCTCTCCTCCCTGTGTCCTCACGTGGTCCTCTGTGTGTGTCTGTGTCCTGATCTCTTCTTACAAGGACACCAGTCAGATTGGATTCGGGCCCACCCATGTGACCTCATTGTAACTTAATTACCTCTTTAGAGACCCTTTCTCCAGACACAGTCACGTTCTGAGGAAATGGGGTTGGACCTTCCACATTTGAATTTGGGGGACACGATTTGGCCCATCACAGAAGAGGAGAGAAGTTGAGGTACTCATATTAAGAGGGCAGAACTTCCTCAGGAGGGAAAGGTGGCTCTGCTGAGGGACAACGGTGGCCTTGCAGGGTCCTGGAGCCATCCCCGAGGGAAGGAGAAGGGGCCGACTGGCATCCGTGTGTTCACTGATGCCTCTCAGGAGCCTGGCCCCCTGCCTGCCTTGCAGTCGATGCTCAGTGAACAAGGACTAGTCCAGCAGTGCTGTGGGGTGCAGCGGGGGTAGTCGGTCTGAGTTCATAGAAACCCCACGAGGCCTTGCCCAATGCTGCACTCAAGGAGCAAAGCAAGGGTTAGAGCCACATGCAGAAGCAGACTGCTAGTCCCGGTAACCTTAGAGATGCTGACCAGGCAGAACACGGGAGAGCCCTCCGGCTCCACGTCCCACCTGTGACGTGCACCTCCATGCGGATGAGAGGGGAGGATTCTTGCCCCGGTGGCCAGTCCCCACCTTGGGTCTGCACCCCTCTGCCTTCTCCTTCCTCTCCCCACCGTTAGACGTCCACGTCACCAGATCTCTCACCTCCAGCCCCTCCTGCCCTCCTTAAACCCTCACTTTCAGCTTTACGGTTCATTTCCCTTGATGCTGCACGTCGAGCCGTGACATCTCTCTGGAATGTTGGTCTTACTCACTTCCTCCCGATCTTCTCTCTGAGAAGACACGCTGGCTGCACACCTCTCTGAGAACATCTTCCCACCCTCCCTTTCAGAACGAGGATAGCCACCATGCAACTCGGCCTGATCTTGTGCCTGGTGCTCCTCAGCCCGCCGGCGGCCACCCTCCATCGCCACCGCTCCCATGAGACGAAGAAGAGAGTCAAGGAGCTGCCATCCACAGCTGCCACGGTGGCCCCCGGCACCAACGGCTTTGCCTTCGACCTCTACAGGGCCTTGGCGGCTGCTGCCCCCAACCAAAACATCTTCTTCTCTCCTCTGAGCATCTCCACAACCCTGGCCATGATCTCCCTGGGGGCTCGGTCCAACACGAAGGCACAGATCCTGCAGGGCCTGCGCCTCAACCTCCAAGAGGGCACGGAGGAGGAGCTCCACAACGCCTTCCAGCAGCTGCTCCGGGAGCTCGGCCGGCCCAGAGATGACCTCCAGCTGAACCTCGGCAATGCCCTATTCATCAGCCCCACAGTGCATATCCAGGACAGCTTCCTGAGTGCCGTGAGGACACTGTACCTGGCAGACACTGTCCCCACCAACTTTGGGGACCCCGCAGGGGCCCAGAAGCAGATCAATGATTACGTGGCAAAGCAAACTCAGGGCAAGATTGTGGACTTGGTGAAGGACCTGGACAGCACCGAGGTCATGGTTATGGTGAATTACATTTTCTTCAAAGGTAAGACCCTGGGGCTCAAGCCTGAACCTTCTCTCTTCTTCCAACTGCTTTTATCAAAAGAATATCCAATTCTCGCACACACGAAGGAGTGGGGGTAAACTTGGTCCTTTCTGGTGCCTGTTGATGAGAGTGAGGCCAACAAACAGCCGTGGGTAAGGGGGGGCGCCTTCTCACTGGGTAAGGTGAGGCTAAAGACCCCGGGATGCTGTTTCATCCCCTGGGGACCAGCTGGGTCTTGTCTTTGGGCGCCTGGGGACACCTGAAACCACAGCTTCCACTCAGGTTCTGAAGCATGAGTTCATCATTGCCATGGTCTCAAAGAAACTGACACCATGGCTACTCAGGCCAGAAGTGTGGACCTTAGAAGGGCCTCTGGTGGCATTTCCCGGCTGCAACCCTGCCCCCTAGACTCTCACCCCCATTCCCTCCTAGGGGCTGTTTCCTCAGCAGAGAAATCCAGGGACAAGAGCCCGTTTCTCTAATAGCGCCCTCTCCCTCCTCCAGAGCTCGGCTCTCCATCTTTATCTCCCTGTCGTTTCTTACAAATATCCCTACTCATCTCATCTCCTGTGTCTGCTTCTCCTTCTGGATGCCAAACGCCTCAGTGCCCTGCATGGGGCCTGGCTGAGGATGGGAAGGAGAGGAAGGCAGACTGGATGAAGAGAGGAGGGGAGGAGAGCAACGTGGAGGGGAGGGGATGAAAGTGGAGAGGGGAGGGGAGGGGAGGAAAGGGGGGAAAATAGTGGGAGGGGCGGGAAGGGGATGAAAGGGGGAGAAGAGAGAGAGAGGAGGGGGGTGGGAAGAGAAAGGAGGGGTAAGGAGGGGGAGGGGAGGGAAGGAAGAAAATAGTTAAATTGATAATCACCTGCCCCCATTCTTATGGTCACAGATGGTGAGTATCAGGCTTGGATTCTAAGATGTCTTGTCCCCTGGTCCAGCACCTCCCCATTACACCAGGCTGCAGAGGACAGCTGTGAAATCAGCTGAGTGGAGCACTGGGACAGGCTAATATTTGACAACCATTAAGAAGATAGAAACAATTTCTTGCATTGCTTTGATCAAAAAGTCCCATAGGGAGCAGACAGAGCAGGAAACACAGGTGAAGACATCCAAGCAGGAAAAATTATCTATTTCCAGGAACCTTGCAAAGCTCTCTCCCAGCCTAGATCAAAATCCAATATTGGGAAAAGAGTGAAAAACAGTGTAAGTCACCCAGACACAGTGTAACTTTGTCAACTGTCCGTATGTTTGACCCTCTTCAGTTGCGTATTTGACCTCAAGTAACATCAGAGACTCAAACAAACAACATTAGGGGTTAAGGGCCTTCAAAGCCTTGAAAACCAACCTCCTTATTTTGCAAGTGTGGAAGGAAAGCCCCACAAAAAGTTCCAGTGTGCCCTACGGTTATAAAGGGCTTGCCTTCGTGTTCACAGGGTGTGGGGGTCGCTGCCACCACAGACCGCTCTAAAGATGGTGATCTCTGCTTAATGAGCTTCCTGTCCACGCTTTCCATCTACAGCTGACGATTTCTCTCTCTTTTCCATTTCAATCTTCAGCTCAGTGGGAGACAAGCTTCAACTACAGAAACACCCTAGAGCAGGACTTCCATGTGACCTCGGAGACGGCGGTGCGGGTGCCCATGATGAGACGCGAGGATTGGTATTACTACCTCCTGGACCAAAACCTCTCCTGCAAGGTGGTGGCGGTCCCCTACCAGGGGAATGCCACTGCCTTGTTCATTCTCCCCAACGAGGGCACGATGGGGCAGGTGGAGAACGGACTGCATGAGAGAATCCTGAGGAAGTGGTTCAAGACGTTCATAAAGAGGTATTGAGACTACACTGGGCCAGCCTAACCCTACACACTCCCAGGGAGACACGTGTCTCCCGAGGGCCACACAGCGGGGGTGGGAAAGACTCAGCCAGCCCAGGAGCTGCTTCCAAGCCCAGAAGCATCATGGGACGTCCCAGACCCTGGGGCTGGCCCAGCTGGAGGGAGCAGGGCTGGAAGACGTGACCAGGTTTCCTGAGGGTGCCATCAAGTGGGCAGTGGCCTCTGGGGACAGCCTAGGTCCAAGTCCAGAGTAGGATGGGCTCCACTCAAGGCACAGGTCTGGAGGAGAATTACAAAGCCAAGGAGAGACAGCAGGAATATGAACTCAGTGAGCGGATGCTCTAAGAGAGTCTAAGAAAGGTCCTTTTCTCTTTCTAGGCAGCTGGAGCTTTACCTTCCCAAGTTCTCCATTGAGGGCTCCTATCAGCTGGAAAAAATCCTCCCCAAACTGGGAATCAGTGACGTCTTCACCTCCCAAGCTGACCTGAGCGGCCTTACCAACCACTCCAACATCCAGGTGTCTGAGGTGAGCCCAGAAGCTTCTGAGCACCTGCTTCCAGAGATTATTGTATCCTACTCTATTCTGTTCTGTTCTATTCTATTCCGTCCTATTTCGTTCCATTCCTCATTCCATATTCTCTCTCTCTCCTCTCTTCTCTCAAGAAGCAAAGGTTTCACTTTGGGTCTTATCCTTTGTGCAATGGGAAGCCACATCCGGCACTGTATAGGGGGAAGGAGTCCTGTCTTAAGCAATCAGAACTAAGAATTGGGTTTTAGCTCTTTCACCCACTAGCTGTGTGACCTCCAACAATTACTGGACCTCTCTGAGCCTCCTTTCCCTCTCTAAAATTGGAGAGTCACACTCTTGCTGTGAGAAGCCATGAGAATTCAATAAAAGACAGGTGAGCCCCCCGCTCCGTGCAGCACCTGGAGCACAGCATCTGTTCAATGGTATCGTTTCCCACCTGCTTCTTGGATGAGCTGCCGGAGAGTTTGACGGCAATGCTGCAGGCAGAAGCTTTGCTATCTCCCGGGATGGCCTCTCCCAGCGCCTGGTGGCTCGGTGATGTCTGGTGTCTCCCCTGCAGATGGTGCACAAAGCCGTGGTGGAGGTGGACGAGTCGGGGACCAAGGCGGCCGCAGCCACTGGGGCGATCTTTGCCTTCAGGTCGGCTCGAGTGGGCCCCCTGAGGGTGGTGTTCGACAGGCCCTTTCTGATGCTCATTGTGGAGAACACGGAGAACATCCTCTTCCTCGGCAGAGTGACCCACCCCCGGGGGGGAGATTCCTCCTGAAGGGCCGCAGGCCTCCACGGTGGAAGACAAGCGTGCACTATGGCCATCTGTCTGCCGGGACCTAGGGATTCACACATGTTTAGATGACTAATGAGGCTTTCGCAAATAATAATAATAGCATTGACATGCTGAGGATTGTTTCTTTTCACACAATTGCAAGACGTGGGTGCTTTGGAGAACATTTGTTCTTACCCTCACCTTTCATCAGTGATTAGCACTGAGGACCAGAGAGGTTGGTTGACTTTCCCAAGGTCACACAGCATGTTAGCGGCAGATGGAAGCCCAGAATCTGGGCCCCTGACGCCCAGCCCAGTACCACAAATCTCTGGAGGAAGATTATTCCAGTAGACATTTCCACCAGGAAGCGAATTTCCAAGCCTAGTGCCCCGTGTCAGCAATACCAGTATCAATTCATCCTGGTTTGGAGGGAACACTGGAATGGGAGTCTGGATGGGGCTTCCGTCCCAGCAAACCAGCTGTGTGACATTGGGGCAATACCGTCCCTCTCTGGACATTGGTTTTCCCATGTGTACTGAGAAGGATCAGGTCAAGGACAGGAGGATCCTTGAAATCATATAAAAAGGCCGGGGTGTTCCCTGTCAATCACAATTGATTTCAGTACATTCAAGTGCCACTCATCCTTCAAGAAAAGCAAGGGGACCACAGGGTGGAATGGGCCATCACAGGATTAAGTTACAATCTCCTGTGCTTGGCGGGGGGCAGGAGAATGGAGGCCTGTTGCAAACAGCTGAGTACCAGTTGAAGACGCTGGTGACTAACTGTGAGTTTTAGTGTCAGCAAGAACAATAAAGCATTTTGCAAACACTGGGTGTCGTAGTCCTTATAGAAGTAACTGGGGGAATGGTGACATTAACAGCTTACCACGTTCCAGGCTTGTGCTGGAAGGGATGGTCGCATTGACTGCTGTTGACTGAAATGGAGTCCAGGTGAAGATTAAATGAAGGAGCTTATTCAATAATCAAAGTGAGGAGCTGGAGGCCCGGGAAACAGTCCAACAGACCATTCTGAGGAATTGCTCCAAGGGCTACAGACCTGAGCGCAGTCTATATACTTTTTTTTTTTAAAGATTTGCCCTGAGCTAACATCTGTTGCCGATCTTCCTCTGCCTTTTTTTTTTTCTCCCCAAAGCCCCCGTACACAGCTGTATATCCTAGTTGTAAGTCCTAGTTCTTCTGTGTGGGATGCTGCCTCAGCACGGCTTGATGAGTGGTATGTAGGTCCGTGCCCAGGATCTGAACTGGTGAAACCTGGGCCCCCAAAGCGGACCACAGGACCTTAACCACTACACCATCAGGCCAGCCTCTATATGCTTTTTTTTTAACAAAGCAGTGTATGTATGGGAAAGGGTTTACACATCTAATAGATACTTCAAAGGTAACATAAACAAGAACTTTTTGGTTATACATCAAACAAGGCTTGTAGTGTTGGTGTTATCTGTGTGTGGAGGGAGGCAAGGACCAGGCTTGTTAATTATTCCCTCAGTCTCTAAGAAATGTGGCTGGGGTGTGAGAGAGTGAGATACCCTTATCTCTTCCTGCTGTGGATCTGTCCAGCAGCGTCTTCAGTCATGAGGTGTGGGGCTGCAGCTCTTTCTAACGCAGCCGTGGGATGGCTGCTTCACAGCACAGCACGGATTTTTGTACTCACTTCAAGTCTACGCAGCTCACTTGCTAGATTCGCCTGTTAGACTGGGGAGAGGGGTCCCAACAGTTTGCTCACACCCCTCGCACGAGGCAGGCACTACTGTTGCCTCCATCTTACAGATGGGGAAGGCAGGGCTTGTGGGGAACAGGCAGCCTACCTAGACACACAGCTCCTAAGTGGTGGAGGGGGATTTGGCCCCGGGAGCATGGCCCCAGAGCCACACTTTCAGCCCTGGGCTCTCTGCAGGGCAGACGTGACAGGAAAGAGAAGCCCAGGCAGGTGCATCTCGACCACCAGCTCCCCAGTCATCCAGCTAAGCTCACTCTCCTTTACGAAACCGACCGCGATTCCTCGTCAACCAAATGAAGGCATCAGCCACTTTAAAGAGTCAACAAATGAATAAGTGAATGAGCCTTCGCTCTGTCTCAAACTGTCCCATAAGTAGCTGCCCCTTAAGTCTGACCCCCTGAGTACCCGCCTGCCACACGCTGCCTGTTGCTGTCTTGCTCTCCGTGAGGCTGTGCCCACTGCCCTGTTCCCAGAGTCCAGACTGTATGGCAGACGGGTGCCCTTAGAACTGACGAGGTCGGAACCCCACGCTTTGACCATCCCTGGCCCCTACTGTGTGCCAGCCCCGGGGACACTTTGCATCTGTGATCTCGTTAGTTGCTCAACAACCCTGCACAGTATGTCACTGTCCCCACTTTAGTTTATCTTTTTCACTCTCCCCATTTTACAGAGGAGGACATAAGTGCTTGCTCAGAGCCTGTCAGCTGGTGACAGAGAGAGGCCCAGGCTCCAGGACCCAGATGGCACGTGTGGTGGCTGGTGGCAGGGCAGATGGCAGCAACCGGGGCCAGACAGCTCGTCTCCCTTTGTGCTTCAAGCTCAGGACAGCTCTCCGGGCTCGGGCCTCCCCGTGGGGTGGGACCTGCTTCTTTGCACCTTTCTCTTGCGAAACACCTTGTCTGTTGGGGCAAATATTTTTGTCACTGTTGACGAAGCTAGTCCAAGGTCAGGGGGAGGCCCTGCCTGGGTGATGTGTGCAGGATCAAGGTCCAAGGCTGTCTAAAGTTCGCTTGGCAAATGGTCACGAAACACCCACTCTGTGCGACATGGGGACGGGCGCCGGGCGGCTGACGGTGGGAGCCTCGGCTGTATGTCACGCACCGAAGCGCCATGCTGGGTGTCATCGCAGGCCATGGAACTCAATTGTCGCCCAATCCTAGGGTGAACAAAGGGTATTGCAGCTCAGAGCAGGTGGGGCAGAATTAACTTCTGCGGGGTCAGGAAAGCTTTCACGGAAGAAGTGACACAGGGCTGGTCTTGAAGAATAGTAGGACGCAACAGACAGCTGATTTGGGAACAGGTATGAGACTTTCAGGCAGAGGGGACAGCCTGAGAAGAGCGTGGTGTTGAGTGAGCTGCGGTGTGTACGGGAGATGACGGAGCCCTCTGTGTGGACCAGTGCAGGGCGCGTGATGGAGAGCTGGGAGGAGTAGGTGACCCTGCTCGTGGTCCAGCGACAGGGACCCTGAACACGAGGCCAGTGTTTTGTCTGTTCTTGCTCATCCCAATGTCAGGTAGTTATGCCGTCCACGCCACACCCTGAGTGTCCCCTGGGCTCCTTCCTGTCCCTCACTCTCCCATCAGCAGAGCAGTGGCACCTCCGCTCAGCCCTCCAGGGGGCGCTCGCACCCACCCACACCTGCTGCTCCCACGCCCCGCCCTCCCCTTCCTCAGATGGGCCTCAGGCACCCCATGTGGTGAAATGAGGTAACTGGTCTATAGAGCCCACACGTGGAGGCGCGACTGTCCCCCTCAGGACCCTCTTAGCCGCCGTGTTAGTTTCCTAGGCCTGCCGTAACAAAGCGCCACAGGGCTGGGTAGCCTAAAAGCAGAAATGTATCATCTCAGGATCGGGGAGGCTGCGAGTCCGAGATCGAGGTGAGCAGGGATGGTTCCTTCTGAGGCCTCCCTCTTTGGCTGCAATGGCCGTCTTCTGTCCCTGTCCTCACATGGTCCTCCCTCTGTGCGTGTCTGCATCCTCATCTCCTCTTCTCGTCTCCCAATCTCCACCCGTCACATTGGATCCAGGCCCACCCTAGAGCCCTCATTTTAACTTCAAATTCAGTCACGCTCTGAGGTCCCGGGAGTTAGGGCTTCATCATATGAATTTGGGGGGCGCACAATTCAACCCATCACTGTCTGAGTTCCCGCAGCTATTGCCAAGTTCATTCTTGTTCTCAGCAATCCGCTTTTATTCCCTCTCTGACCACATGACCCCCGTGAACTCCACCTCCAGCAGAAATAGGAGGAACAATGCCAGGACCCCTTCTCCCACCTCTCCCTGCAGAGACGCGGACCAGAAGGCACGGCCTTGGTCTCCAGGGAAACAGCCCCCAGGAGCCGCCACGCCCAGCTACACTTGCGTATTTGGCTGTCGCCCGTGGGTTGCCGGCAGGGCGCCAGGCACGGAGCTGGTGCAAGGGTGTAAAGGTGAGCCCAGCAGACACGGGCCCTGGCAATAACCAGGGAAACAAACAAATAAACACAGAATTACAAACCTCGATGAGGACAGTTTGCCTGTCCACAGGTGTTTATTGAATGTCCACCGTCTATCTGGCACTGTTCCAGATGCTGAAGAGAAATGAAGGAAAAAGCAAAAAATTCCCTGCTCTGGTAGAGCTCCATTCTAGGGTGGAGAGACGATAAGCTAGAGAAATAACAGAGAGTAAAATGGAAAGGTGAAATGCATCGCATGTCAGTTGATGACAAGTGCGATGGAGTGGGACTTGGTGAGTTGCTTCTGCGAACAGGGCACGGGCCGTGAGGAACAGCAACGCTCAGTGGAGAGATGAGCACCGGCTACCCTGACCCTGACAGAGCCGTCAAGGTCAACATCGCCAGCGGGAAGTCGGGATGACATCTGTGCCCTTGATGCGGTGGGATGAGATCCCGAGGTAGGATCTTCCCCCAAACCCACTGCCTCTTTCTGATCGTGAGAAAACGCCATACAAACCCCAAACGAGGGACAAGCTGCAAACTACCCGACCAGTGGTACACTTCAAAAGTGTCAGGGTTGTGCAAAAGAAGGACACCCTGATGCTGTGGTCCCAATGTCTGTCCCCTCAAAATTCCTAGGCTGCGATCCTAACCCCCAAGGTGACGGTGTTGGGAGGCAGGGCCTGGGAGGTGATTAGGGCATGAGGGGGGAGCCTCAGGAGGGGACTAGTGTGCTTATACAAGAGGGCCCAGGGAGCTCTCTAGACCCTTCCACGTGAGGACACAATGAGAAGTGTGCTACCCGGAAGAGGGCCCCCACCCGGCCACACTGGCACCATGATCTTGGACCTCCAGCCTCCAGACTATGAGGAGTAAATTTCTGCTGTTTCTAGGCCACTCAGTTTGTAGTATTTTGTCATAGCAGCCGGATCGGACCAAGACACTTGGAGAAGTGTCACAGGCCAGCGGAACCCAAGGAGACACGACGACTGAATGTAAAGTGATTCCCTGGATGCGATCCTGGAGCAGAAAAAGGACGTTACTGGACACACCAGTGAAATCCAATTAAGCCTGTACCGTACCGACGTTCATTTCCTAGCTTTGTTAATGTACCATGAATATGTAAGATGTTTACGTCACAGGAACTCTCTGTACCGTCGTCACGACTTTCCTGCATATCTAAAATTGTTTCAAAATGAAAAGTATTTTTTAGTAAAATGTTAAAAGAAAAAAAAGACCAGAGGAGGGGTTAGGGGTGGGGTTGGGGTTGCAAAGGCACAAGCAGGAGGCAGCGAAGGAGGAGAACGGGGCGCGAAGAGACACGATTGGGGAGACCTTCTCCAGCCGGGCCAGAGGGGGCTCTGGGGTGGTGGCACTGAAGCCGAGATCTGAGGGACGGGCAGGAGCGGACTGGGCCAAGGTCACTGGTGGACATCGTGAGCGAAGACCCAGAGGTGGGGGAGTGTGTCCTGTTCACGGAACTGAAGGAGGACACGCATGGCTAGAGCCCATGCGACTTGCTCCTTCCTCGGTGCCTATCACACTGTGTAGGGTGCTGGGGGCGGGGGTGACAGTAATAAACTAAGTAACACTAGGATGCCACCTGCGGCTGCCTGGCACTGTTGTGAGCCCTTTGCATATATTGGCTCAGTTCAA